TTAAGCCGTAAATTATATTTAAGCATTACCAGGAAACACTCGGCCAAATCTCGAGCATGACCCGATTCTTCCCGGCTCTTGACCAACATGTCATCAACGTACGCCGCCATAGACTTTCCCAATAGATCCTGAAATAGCTGAGCGACCATTCGGGTGTATGTAGCCCCCGCGTTTTTGGGTCCGAAGGGCATCACTTGGTAGCAATATACACCATCGGGAGTGATGAAGTTTGTTTTCTCCTCGTCGGCTTTGTGCATGTAGATCTGATGGTAGCCTCGGAATGTATCCATGAAGCTCAATAAGGCTGACCCCGTAGTCTCGTCGACCAGCTGGTCGATCCTGGGTAGGGGAAAAGGATCCTTCGGGCAGGCCTTGTTGAGGTCGGTGTAATCTACACACATTCGCCAGGCCGGCGGTTTTGGCACAAGTACCACGTTGGCCAACCAAACCGGATATTTTACCTCTCGGATGTGGCTGGCAGCTAGCAACGTGCTCACCTCCTTCTTCACGAATTCTCGTCGGTCGTTGGCTAGATATCATTTTTTCTGAATCACGGGTCGATGGCCAGGATCTACCGCGAGTCGGTGAGAGATGATTGAGCGGTCCACACCCGGCATGTCCTCTGGTCCCCAAGCGAAGACCAGGCGGTTCTCACGGAGCACACGTATGACTTTCGCTCGTATTTCCTCCTTGAGGCCGACTCCGATTCTTACCCGCCTCTCCGGTCGGACTGGGTCGATCTCGACTTCTTCTAACTCCACGGCCGGTTCGGGGCAAGGTGGCATTGCTTTCTTTGCGGGCAGCTCGGTGAACTCATGCACTCGCATTTCTCGTCTTCACATTCCCTGGCATGCCTGTAGATAGCACTCTCGGGTGATTCTCCGATCGCAGCGAACTGTGCCCACTCCTGTCGGCATGCGGAATTTCAGACATACATGCTCAACGGAGATTAATGCTCCCAAGTCCTCCAGACCGGGTCGTCCGATGATGGCGTTGTGAAAGAAGGCTAGATCAACTACGATAAACTTCATATCTAGTTTCTGTGTGTCCGGATAACTGCCGATCTCGACCGGCAGGGTGACGGTCCCTTCAGCCTCTATGGAATCCCCAGTGAAGCCTGCTAGTGGCGTTTTTACCGGGGTCAGCTGTTCTCGTGCTAGACCCAACTTGGTAAAAGTTTCGAGATACAGGATGTTGACGCTACTCCCGGTATCTACCAAGATTTTTTGAATAACCACCCCGTTCACATCCATCGCGATTACCAGTGCGTTGCGGTGTGATGCTTGGCCAGTCGGCAGATCTTTGTCCATAAAAGTTATAGGTTCTCTGCACACTCTCTTCGGGTTGCCTTCGCGTCCTTACACTGTACCTACGTACAACTACCAGGCCCATGTGTTTCGAGTATTGGAGGAGTCGCCTCCTTCCGGGCCGCCGACTATCATATTGATGACCGGCTTTTGTCTCCATTACGCCTCATCCTCTGCGGATACTGGCTGCTTGCCGTGATCTAAGTCGGCCGACCAGGAGGGGTCGCCATCGTCTTTGGTTTGGGATGTCGCCCATCTTTGCCATTGCGGGGGCGGGGCACCCGCTTTTATCTCGTGCACTGGACGCGGAGGAGGCGATCAGTAAGGGTGAGTACCGGCTCTGTCATAGACGCGTCGGGCCTCCTGTCGGCTTGGTGGGTCCCGATGCTTTTCTCTCACATCTGCTCTGGTTCGTTTTCTTCTTGAGGCCCCTCCGACTTTGCGCTGTCGCTTATACTTCATCGCTTGCTCAGTGTTAGCTCGCTTGTTGGCCATATGTATGCCCTCCGCGTACGTAGCTGGCCGATTATCCCGTTGGTCTCGATACATCTGGCCGGATCGAAGGGACTCAATGAAGAATGTGTGTGTGGTCTGATCCTCGACCTCTTCGATAGATTGGATCTCCTTCTGCCACCAAGCCAAGTATGTTTTGAGCGATTCTCCCTCATCTTGATGGATGTCGCCAAGATGGCGTAAGGTGCTTTCTGAGGCTTTATGTTGGGACATAGTGACTCATGAAACGGTCGACCAATCCCCCGAAGCGCGGATCGATCCCGGTGGCAAGGCGACGAGCCATCTTTGAGCCGGTCCTTTCAAAGTTGGCAAGAAGGCGTGGCACATGACAGGGTCCTTGACTCCTAAGACCTGCATTTTCGCCTGATAGCTCAAGAGGTGTTCCGCGGGTCACCGGACCCGTCAAAGGTAGCTTGCTCCGGAAATTTGAAGTCGCCAGGTATCTTGTAGGCCATGATCTCGACTGAGAAGGTTAAGGCGGTGAGCAACATCTAACGCGGAGACTTGGTTTTTCCCTCTACTTGTTCCTTTAAATTACGCAATTCCTGAGCCAAATAAGCCATCTCGCCAGAATTCCGGGTGTGATTTCTAGTGGACTCGGTGTTCTCTCCGGCCTGGGACTTGGCTTACCGATCCTCGTTCCGGACAGGCCTCTCGGTTCATCGCCCCTGGGTTCTGGTTCTTCGGGTGTGAGTCTTTTCTTGGGCGGCCTCATGATTCTGCCTACCTGACCGTGCTCGGCTAGGTGCTCCCTTACCCAATCGCTCTTTCACCGACCGACGGGTTGTGTTTGGGCCTAGTCTGGAGTGCACAGACCGAGCTGGTGGGTCTTCTGCCCTCTGGTCCTCTCGCATGTCTCTGTCAGACCTTTAGGGTGGATGCTGGTTTTGTGGCTGTGGATTCGGCGATCGGGAGACCGATGGTTCCCTCAGTTCCTGGGTTTGCACGACTATGACACGAGCAATGGCATCGATCTGCGCGGGGGTGAGTGGTATCATCGATGGAGGCTGATTTCGAGGCGCCGAATCACTTCCCTGACTTTGTGAATTTCGCTAGTTCAATTGATTCCTCAGGTCTGCCTCAGGCACGCTATGACAATCGGAGGCCTAGCTTCGATCTTCAGCCATCGTTTTAAACTTCCGTCCCTGCTTACTTGACTTTCTACTCTATTTTCGATTCCTTTCTCGATGCAAGAGAGCGATCGTAACCTTTCATTACGTCCCCATAGACGGCGCCAGTGTTAGTTTTAGGGTTTTGGGCTCAGGGAGGTCCAAAACAACCTTAGTTGGTGGATTCACCTTTCAAAAATAGAAGGGAAATAATAGCTCTATAAGTGTGTGTGTATTCTTGGCCCGATCTTGCCGTCCCCCCTTTAGATTCTTGAGGAACCCCTTTTATAGTGGGTCTCCTTGGAATCATTCAACAAGTATAAAATTAAGGCCATAAACTAGCCTATTAATTCTAGTGGTCGTTGGGCTACCGTTACTGGGCCTCCCAATGGCTTGCTGACCAGGCCCCTTAAATGGCCTCTTAAATGCTTTAACGGCTATCTCCGTGCTGCCTGCCCACTCGCGCCGACATCGGGGTCGAGCTGACCTCTTGGTTTCAGCCCCTATCTCTCCTGGGCTTTTTCTCTTTTGGACTTGGCCTTCTCCTCTTCTTGGGATTCTCTTCTTCTTCTTGGGCTTCTCCTCTTCTTCTTGGGCCTCGAGCCCACGAGGTTCACACCCCATCACTTAAATCAACGAGTGGATTAGTTACTGTGTACAAAAAAAAAACAACATGCACCATGAAGAAAACAGAGTATTAAAGTCCATTAGTTTGTATAAATAGCCTATTTTCAATCCACATCGAATACATACAAACTCTTGACCTACCTTGTTGGGCTCTAGCAGCTCATTCCCTCTAAGGGGAGATTACAGTTGTTATATCATGGACCACGGTGCATAATTGATTATGCACCGCGCATTAAAACGGCCTAATTTCTTTAAGTAAAGAAACAGTGTGTTGTTAGTGTTAACGGAGTGACACTACAGTGTATCTAAACTGGCACTGCCTCACGTTTTATTTTTATATTATCAAATGAAACCACAGTTATATCAAAATGATACTGTAGTTGTGGTGAAATGAAACTGCAGTATATATAAAATGAAACTGAATAACATTTCACATATTTGAGTGTATATTGTACAATGAAGCTGTAATTATATCGAAATGATCATGTAGTTGTGTTTTAATGAAACTATAGTGTTTATAAAATAAAATTAAATAACATTTTCACATATTTGAGTGTATAAATATTGAATGGAACTGTAGTTGTGTTGAACTGAAACTGCAGTGTATACAAAATAAAACTGAAGAACAGAGTTATTTTTTGCGGAACGGTGCAGAACGGCGCGAAACGGATTCCATTTCTTTTCATTAAATAAAACGACGCCGTTTTGATGCGCGGCTCATAATCGATTATGCACCACGGTGCACGATATAATTTGCCGAGCGATGAATGTTATATTACGTTATTTAGTTCATCTTATGAGATTACTTAGTAATGTTATAGTACTCCAAGGAGCGTTTGGTTCAAGCAATCTTAGATTACTTAGGTAATGCATGTGAGTCTAGTAATGTTATATTACCTTGTTTGGTTTAATTTATGAGCTTACTTCAAAGCTGATGTAGCGGTAATGTGATTACTATCATTTTTTTAAGTAATCTCAGAGTACCTTGAAATATTCTAACATCTATCATTATAATAAAGCACTAAGTTTCTGCCTATGCCAAAATCCCGCCCAATGAAAACGACGCCGTTTGATGGCATGAGAAAAAGTTGTTATTAATCGCGTGCAATTAAATACAGCCGGCTACTTTTTTTGCAATACCAACAAAAAAAAAATATTAAATAGAATTCTAATTATTACAGACTTCTAACGAGAGTGTTAATTATAATGATAGATGCTTTGAAAATCGATTTCTCCATAAACATTTAAATGTAGCCGCAACATGCTCTTGAAAACTGAAAGGTCGACAGCCCCCTTTAGTCTTCCCAGATTTTGAAATCCATTGATTTATAGTCTATATATAAGCCTGTGTCGATGGAGAATTTTCCTCCAAACTTCAGTATATATTCAGTTCGTATCACCTGCATTTTACAAAACATACACCCAAACTTTCAGCAACTAAACAATGCCAATGTATGTTCCAGTAAAAGACATTGGCCCGCTTGATAGGGAGAAAGCAATAAGAGTGAAGTCTGTTAGATGCTACGAAATAGCCGAGAACAGAGGGTCCACCGAGATCAAGAGTCGAGAAGTTTTGGTCTGTGATAAAGAGGTATTTTCGTGTCATTCTTATGATTTTATTTAAATGTTTATGTTTTAGGCTTTATAATCATTCCAATGCAATACACATGTCTTATTTATTTCACTAATCCTACTTGCAGGGTACTTTCATACATTTGAATATGCAAAATAGTGATGTCTAGAAATATAAGAATGTGTTCATAGAAGGGAAGCTCTATTCTGTAAAAAACTTTTTGGTTTTCACCCACTATTATACTTTCAAAACTTGTGATCACGAATATATGATTAGGTTAAACTATAAGACTCAAGTAAAGGCCATCAAATCGAAAGGTTTTCCTAATAAGATGTTTCAACTCAAAAACTATGACTCTTTGAAAGACCCTACTCAAGTGAATGACAAGGTGTTGTTTGGTAAGTATATAGTTCATGCTTTTGCTATTTTTAAGTTTTCTATTTCTGTATTTTGTCTACTATTCATTTTTTTTGATTTTACAGATTTAATAGGCAGGGTTGTCGAGATCCATGCTCCTGTGGACAAAATAATAGGAGGCAGACCAGCAAAACTTCTTGATTTCAAAATGGCTGATAATCAGTAAGTTTTCTACTAACAACTATGTGCCTATATTTTTAATCATTAAATTATTTCTAACATAATTGCCTATAGGGGAAATACATTACCGTGCACTGTTTGGGACAGTCATGTTGCTTTTATGGTACCATATTATGATTCTGGTCTTCAAGAACCCCTAATTTTGGTTCTTCAACTTTGTCGGGCAAAAGTGGTGAATGGTAAGTTATGCCATTGCATTATTCTTTTGATTTTTATCTAGGTTTTCCAACAATCATTAACATGTATGATTCTAATAGGTGAAATCAGAATTACTAGCTGCTATGATGCTACCCAACTTCATTTGAATGGACCTTATCAGGAATTTGCTGATTTTAAATCTCAGTAAGTGCCTTAAATAGCATGTGCTTTATAATGTGTTCTACTGTTTACTGTCTATATTTTAAATACCATGTCAGTGCCTTTTTTGATTTTAAACTTTATCTACTGACTACATTTAAAATAGCATTGCATTTATAATGTTATCTACTCTATACATTTTAAATAGCATGGATTTTAGTATGTTATCTACTGTCTACTGTATTCATTTTAAATAGCATGTCTACGGTATACTGTTTCATTAAGTGCCTTTTCAGTTTTTAGATGTTATCTATTGTCTACATTTTACAACTCAACACATAACAATGCATGAGACAACAATGAATCTACTGTATCTATTATTTATAACACTTATTCATAACATGCAATGGACTCATATAATTTACTGTTTTTGTTACCTGTAGGTTAAGTGCATCACACAGCCCTTTACGCAGTATCAGCACTGCAACTGTGCTTTCTCAATCCCAAGGAATTGATGACTTCACCAGTGGTGCTTTGACTGTAACTCCAGTTGCTGATCTGGTGAAAAAGAAACAGGTTATACTCTGAAATTTTTGATATCATTAATACAGTCAATTAAGATCAGTAATTATTTGTCATTATAATACATACTAACCAAGTTACATTTCCTATGGCAGAATGGGGAATTCTATGTTCCTGCTGAAATAGTGGGAATTGAAGGGTCATTTGGATGGATGTACATCTCATGCATGTCACCAGGATGTAACAGAAAACTATCTGGCCAAGTAGGTGATTTCAGTTGTACACACTGTAATAAGAAGTATCAAGAAGGCATGGCAAGGTATAGAGTGAAAGTGATTGTTCTTGATAAAGGTCAAAAATATGCTCCCTTCCTTTTGTGGGATAGGGAGTGTTCTGAATTAGTTGGTATCCCAGCACACAGTTTGTACCTCAAGTATAATAAGGTAAAGTCATACAACACTATAATTTAATACCTTAATAGCAGTTGTGTTAATCTATTTGACCTCTAAGTATGCTATTTTGTTTATTTTAAGTTTCAGACATTCCAGCAGAATTGGAATCCTTGGTTGGTATGCGAATGATATTTAAGATATCATTAAAGATGGAGTTCATGAAGGGAGCTAATTCAGCCTACACTGTGATGAGAGTACTAAGGGATGAAGTGTTAGTCTCTGCCTATTGTTCTAACCTTATTGAAGACCAAGAGAAGGACTTGATGACAAAAATGATAGATGAGGACGAGGAAGAAGATGAGGAATCTGATCAGGTTCTTATTTTTAATAAAGTATACACTATAGTTACATTTTTAAGTCTTCTTATGACATGCGTTTGACTAAATAAACTTTTCATGTATATAGGAGGCTTAAAATGGAGAGAATGAGGTCAACAGCCCCTTGAGTATACAGCACTCTCAAAGTGTAGACCTTGAGACTGATGATTCTAATGGTGTGAAGAGATCGCTTCTGGATCAATTTTCCTCCTCTAGGAAGAAGGGGAAAAATGTTGTTGTTAAAAAGGAAAAAGTTTAAGATCTTGGATACTACAGACTGTTACCACATGTTTTGTGGTTTTACTGTTTTGAAACTAATGTTTTGGCCTGCACACTATCTATTTTCATTTCTAAAACAATGTCAGTTTGTTTCCATATGAACATTTGTAGTCAGTTTGACTATTTTCCTTTTTGGTTTATCTATGCTTAATTTTATTACACTGTTTATTTCTTTACTTGGTTAGATATATGAAACTGTATGCAGGGGAAGAATTAAGTTACCAAGCAAGCAATCTAACAAGCAACTAAAGACAAGGAAGCAAACACAGTCCCAATCAGGTCAAGAATGAAGCACAACAAACCACTGTACCAGAAAAGCTTTTAAACTAATTTACTTCTACCTATGTGATAAATCTATAGTCATGTACTGATTCTGTAATTTATTGTAATATAGATTGTAATAAAACTATTTATTTGCACTATATACATTCTTCTATATTACTTTCAGACTCAAAACAATTTCAATAGAATCATTACCAAACTAACCAGAAAGTAACTTGGAAAACATGTATTCAATCAAACACACTAATGATGTTAATAAAAAAAAACTAAATTTGAAATTAATCACATATACATTGAGTGAAAGGATAGTCCTACATAAATTAGGTTCTAACCAAAATAATACATTTAACAGATAGTTAGATAGTCCTATATTCTACACTTTGAAAGTGAAAAGTGTATACAAATTTGATTTGACTTTGTCAATTCAAAAAGCAAATAGTCAATGATAGCACTAAATCAATTAAACCCAAATATATCAACTAAAATAAATCCAGATATAGCTTTTGTGAATTTCAATTATCATTAACTTTGGTTAAGTTAAATATAAATTAGACTTTAAGGTCAAAATTGTATCAAAATTATTCAAATGATCACAATATAAGTACATATTACTATATAATAGAATATGTAGAGTAAATTGTTTTGAATAAAGTCTAATTTATTAAGGTTAACAGTAGACAAAATGTTAACAGTAGAAAAAAACATTTACAAACTTAAAAATATAGTGTTGGAAGTAGCTGTGAACAATGTAATTTAATAATCATATGTATTTCAAAAATGAACTTTGACTTCGTCAATTCAAAAAGGATTATATTTTCGCTTTCTGAAAATCCTATATAATTGTGATTGTTGTAAATAAATACAAAACCTTATCATATGAGAATTCATTAGTAATATACGATTAAAAAGTAAAAAATGTAGGAATGAAACTTTTATATATGTTTTACAAAATTTGATACATCTTTGAGCCTATAAAGTACCAGAAAAAGCTAACAACGCTTTTTAGCACATTACAAAATCAAACCGTAAAAATTGTAATTGACCAAATATTTTTCATGTCAATTTGTCTAAAAAGTACACAATACAGTACTGTTTCTGATCTCAATGGATCTAAGATTTAAACATTTAAAATCTACAATTTACAGAAGTAAAGTTTTATAAACTTGGAGAGTAAATACTCATCCCCTAATACATACTATATAATATACTAATTTGTAATCTGAAAATGTAGAATCTGTGATATATAAGAATCTGTCAGCACTGCCAAGTATTCAACTGCTGTGCCAAAAAAAATGTCAAAAAAAAAATAGGACTACAAATAGTAAATGTAATTTAGTCATTTAACATATGCATCACAAACAAAGTTTAAGCATTTGCCAAAGAATCAAGAACGAACAAAATGATTTTAACTGATTTTATTATAGCAACTTTAACAATATAAGTAACAAATGTGCCAACAAAGTATTCAAGTACTCAGTATGTAATCTATCATTATAAATGTAATGAATCTCAATATAAAATTGGAAACACAATGCTCTTTGGCTTTAAAAACCACATAATTTGTAATTTGTAAATAAAAATGTTAAAAATATACAGACAGATTCTAAAAATTTCATATAACTGCATCAGAATTATAAGTTCATCATTTGCCCAATACTAAAAACAGTGTTAGTATATTTGTAAAAAAGAATAAGTGCATGAGTGATAGGGGAAACATGTGTATTCAATGATAGCAATACACTATTGCATTTTGGTTTTCTCAAAAAAACTGAACAGTCATAATCATTTCAGTACATGTGTTAACATTAATGATTATCAGCCACTAAAGCATTCAAAATATAGCAAATATGCATGCTCAAACTACACTCACAAATCAATATTGAAAGATACAAAACAACATCAGACATGAGGAAACTTAATTCATCTACACTAATAAGGAGCAAAAGGAAGGACATAATGAACAATCAAGGTATATTCTACACTATTAAAACTCTTAATTTAAGTTTACCAGTTTCTGCTTTTACTTCAATGACCACAGCCTATTATGCATCCTGATCTTCCCATCTTTCTCTTATGCAACCAATTATGAACACTGCTCCCCTAAAAGATAAGAGTATTAAGTTAGTTGAAACCCTAAGAAATAATATGACGAAACTCTATGCTAATCTACGATTTTAGGTAAATATTTGTTTCTATTCCACTTATCTGAGCGACGAATGGTCGAAAAATTCCTGGAATGTCTTTCTACGGTGATGAACACTGTACGACATTTGTACACAGATCTGCAAATTTTTTTTAAAAAAATGTTAATTACAAGTAAGTTCTGATATATACGATAGAACATAGGGATAGAATAAAATTTGTAGGGAACTTATCTCATAGCGACTGGATTGAAAGATTACAGTGCTTTGTATCTAGATCGTGACATCAACCCTAGAACCTTCAAAATACCATTGTAAATGAAGATGGACTAATCAAAACCCAAATCTTCCGATTGATCTGAAGATCGCCTACTAAAAACGAAGCGAGAGGAAGAAAATCGAAGATCCGACACTCAAATCGAAGTTCTTCGAGTAAACAACGACGATCTGGCAACACAATTTCAGATTGGAAGAGTGAAAACGAAATCGCCCACAAAACAGTAAAATCTTCGATTAACAAACAAAGATCGGGCACTCAAATCCACGATCTTCGAATGAGAACGAAGATCGGCTGATAAATATTGAAATGAAGATAGGGTTTTGAAAATCCATCCTCATCGGATGTTAAAGGTCATGAAGATCTTTAGGACATAAACATTATTGCCTGAAATTGTACAAAGCTCAAGAGCGAAGAAAGAAATAGGGATGTCCGCATTCGGATATGGATGAGAGGTAGCTGTGAGGAAGGAGGGTGTGGGGGGAGTGTTATGGGTAAGAAGTGGGCCGGGTATGGGTTATCAAACATGGGGGAATGGTTTGGGCTATGTATTAAAATCATTATATATTGGGTTTGATTAGGGGAATGTTTAATTATAGAGATTTGCAGATTTTAAACCCATACTTCAATAATAAGTTTGTACAAAAAAAATAGGTGATTATGAATTCAAATTAATTTTAAGTATTTTTGTATATAAGGTACATTACTTTTTTAATGGATGTACATTATTTGCATTTACAATTTTTTTATTTTAGTTTTGATTATGGTTCACGTTACTACGTGGACCACTGTTAATGTATTGACGATGTTAATTCATGACTTATTTCATATAATACTTAGCTTCTAATAGTGTTTAAATTTCTTACCATTAAGAGCACTTATTTTTTGCTTGTAATTTACACGGTATATTTATTGGACCACGGTTAATGTATTCACAATTTTTATTAATGCATCTATTATTATACAACCCATCCTTCAATAATAACTAACGAAAATAAAAATAGGTGATTATGAATTCAGATTAATTGTTTTAAGTTTCTCCGTATATAAGGTACATTACTTTTTTAATGGATGTACATTATTTGCATTTGCCTTTTTTTTTTTTTATTGTAGTTTTGATTATGGTTCACGTTATTGAGTGGACCACGGTCAATGTATTGACGATGCTAATTCATGACTTATTTCATATAATACTTAGCTTATAATAGTTTTAATTAACTATTTTAATTCACTATAATACATAGGTTGTAATATTTTTCAAAAATGTTTCCATTTTGAATTTGTATTTTGCACTTTTAAAATTTGTTTTTAATTATGTGTCACGATACTGTGTGGACCATGGTTAATGTATTTATGTTTTTAAAAGTGCACTAATTCTTATAATATATAGCTTATAATTCAAGTTAAATATGTTAGTTATTTATTGTCTAATGTTTGCCTTTGCAGAAAATGTTGAGAACAACCATACCATGCTACAAGAAAATATTAATGATCCGCAAATGGAATACACACCACAAATGTATTGTAATTCAAGTGAGAGGCCAATAAGTGCTCTCACAACAGGTAAACTATTTAAAGATTGTACAAAATTTCTTTACAGTAGATAACATATGACAAACGTGTTATGTTTTTTCAGTTAATATAGAATCCTTGGATATACAAATTAGTACGCGTAGTACGGAATATACAACCAGCAACAGTAAATCAAGGCATTTTGTTTTAGGATCCCGAAATACATTCTCTTCGAGTGCAAAAAGCGATATACTTAACGGTGAGTTTTTACATTAAAGACCACAATTACTTAATTGTTTGTATTCCAGTTACATGCTACAAAAATTTTCTTTTAAATTCCATGTTTAATTGGTTATATAAAAGGTACCCACACAATGTCTGAGAACAAACGCCCACCTCTAAACGATATATCCAATGGTAAGTATTTATTAGGTCATTTTATACAACTTAATAAATGTTTATTAAATTATGCTAGCTAAGTTGTAAAGTATATATTTTTTAGGTAACACAAATTGCAACAAAAGAAAATGCATGGATAAGGGTAAAACTATTATCCAGTGTAATGTTGTCAACCGGGATTTGTTTCAAGATTTTGAAGAAGTTTCCAATATGGACACTATTTCAAAAACCGCGAAAGAAAATCATGGTACGTATAATGTTAAATAGTAGTAATTTCAAAATGTTTATGGCTGTTATTCTTGGTTTAAGTCATATGAAACTAATTTCATATATTATGCTTAGGATTGTCACCAATTACACAACAACATATCCAATTAGGTGAAAATGGTAAGTAATTATTTTGTAAATGGTAACAATGTCATTACGATATTTTGTGGAGGTTTGTAAACATTTCTAAAAAATTAATTATGTACATGGTAGGTACAAATCAATTTTTTGAGACTGCATGCACAAACCAAGTCACAGTACGAATTGAATCGACAGTTGGGACTTCAAATGGTAGCCACGTCGGTGATGAGCCAACAAATAGCTATCAAGGTACATAACCAACTGCTTACAATACTGGTATGTTTACTATATTACGGTGTTTTAATAAATTTAGTGCAGTTGGATTTATTTTATTTTAATTATCTACTTAGTGGAATACCAAGATCTTGGTGATGCAACTATAACATGTCAGCACTGTGGAGCGCTGTTTTGGTACGAAGAAAGGACACACAAAACAGATAATCGTGGCCACCCGAAATATAACTTGTGTTGCAACAATGGTAAGATTCAATTTCCATACATGCTGATGCCCCCACAACCGATATATGATATTTTTTTTGGAGAATCAGAAAAGAACAAGGAATTTCTACACAACATTAGAACATACAATAGTATGTTCTGCTTCACTTCGATGGGTGGGAAAATAGATCGAAACGTCAACAGAAACGGTGGTCCCCCAATCTTCCGTATAAATGGCTAGAACTTCCATTACATTGGTAGTCTATTGCCGGTAGATGGCATGAAACCGCATTTCGCGCAGCTGTATATCTATGATACCAACAATGAAATGGACAACCGTGTCAATTCTGTTAGGTAAGTCTGTGGCATTTTATGTTATAAATGTTGTTATGATGTAGTTTTATTACAAATCTAATTGTTCACCGTTTTATATTTTAGGCAAGATGGTAAGCGAAACGACATTCATGTTGAGATTGTCAATGTGATTCAATCTATTTTGGATGAACACAATGTGTTGGTCAAAACCTTTCGCATGGCACGAGATGAACTACAAAAAATCCCAACCGCTGAGGTTAAGATAAAATTGCTTGGTAAGAGATCAAGGGATGCTAGGACATACAACTTGCCACAGGTCTCAGAGGTTGCTGCATTGATTGTTGGTGATATCGATACTAATATTGGTGAACGCGACATTCTGGTTGAAACAAAGAGCGGTCTCTTGCAACGAATCACTGAGTTAAATCCTGCTTACCTGCCAATGCAATATCCTTTATTGTTTCCTTATGGTGAAGACGGTTATAGGGAAGACATTCCCTTCTCAACGATAAAGGGGAACACATTTGGTGGTCGTCAAAGGATAAGCCCTCGAGAATATTTTTCTTACCGTATCCAGTCTAGGACAACAGAAGTTTCAACATTGTTGCATGCAAGAAGGCTATTCCAGCAATTCCTGGTTGATGCCTATACGATGGTTGAGTCCGGAAGGTTGATATATATACGGACGCATCAAAAAAGTTTGAGATGCGAAGCATATAATTGCTTGAATGATGCATTAACAAGAGGTGAACTTGACCCCACTGCTCAAGGAAAAACGAATAATATTGCCTTCGAGTTTTACCGGTGGTGCTAGATACATGATACAAAATTACCAGGACGCAATGACGATTTGCCGATGGGTTGGATATCCAGATTTGTTCATCACGTTTACTTGCAACCCCAAGTGGCCTGAGGTACAACGGTTCTTGAGTACAAGAAATCTGAGGCCAGAAGATCGTCCAAACATAATATGTAGAATATTCAAATTGAAGTTGGATGCTCTACTATCAGAATGCCGAAAGAACAAGTTATTTGGCCCAGTCATTGGAGGTACGTGTCAAAATAAGATACTATTTTAATGTTGTAGTTTTTAATCCATACAAATTTCACAATTTTACCCATATATTATAAAATGAATGTTGCAATTTCTTTGTTAACAGTGATCTATACTATAGAGTTTCAAAAAAGAGGACTACCGCATGCTCATATACTTTTGTTTCTGGATAAAAACAATCAAGCACAAAGTGGGATAAATCTGGACAACATCATTTCAGCTGAATTACCTGACCAAGAAAGAGATCCAGAATACTTCAAAGTTGTTGAGGAGTTTATGATGCATGGCCCTTGCGGGAAAGCACGGATGACTTCTCCATGTATGGCAAATGGTAAGTGTACTAAACACTTTCCCAAGAAGTTTGTTAATACATCAACTGTGGACGAGGATGGTTATCCTATATACCGCAGAAGAGACAATGGCAGGTCTGTCATGCGCAATGGTATTGAGTTGGATAATAGGTACGTAGTACCACACAACAGACATTTGTTACTAAAGTATAGGGCTCATATTAATGTGGAATGGTGTAATCAATCCCGGTCAATCAAGTATTTGTTCAAGTACGTAAACAAGGGCCATGATAGGGTTACCGCAGAGTTTTACAAATCCAACAGCGATGACGAAAGTCCAAAAGTGATCGATGAAATCAATATGTTCTATGACTGTCGGTATATTTCTCCGTGTGAAGCAGCTTGGCGATTGTTTGGATTTGATATACAATTAAGGACACCATCTGTTGAGCGATTGAGCTTTCACTTGCCCAATCAACAAAGTGTTATATTCGCAGATGACGATCCTGTTGATAACATACTAAGTCGTCCAACAATTTTGCAGAGCATGTTCTTAGAATGGTTTGAGGCTAATAAAACCTACCCAGATGCAAAACAACTTACATATGCCGAAATGCCCACTAAATTTGTATGGAAGAAAGATGTTAGGAAATGGCAACCAAGGAAAAGAGGATTTGCCATCGGTAGACTTTTCTATGTGCCACCTGGTACAGGGGAGATATTTTATTTGAGATGTCTTTTGAATAAAGTAAAAGGGCCCACGAGTTTTTTGGACATAAAAAAAGTAGATGGTGTGCAATATGATTCTTTTAGGGATGCGTGTTCTGCCAGGGGATTAGTAGACGACGACAGGGAGTATGTTCATGCTATAGAAGAAGCAAGTCAATGGGCGACCGGTGTTAATTTGAGAAGATTGTTTGTCACACTATTAATGTCAAACTCAATGGCTAAACCTGAAGTTGTGTGGGAAGCTGCGTGGCACTATTTGGCTGAGGATGCACAATTCAAAATTAGAGCTCAATTGGGGATTACAGGTAAAATTTTATATTTGTAATTTCACTTTGTACAGATTTATTGTATACACATACTTAAAATATGCGATTGATTATATTATCACAGATTTGATTTTATCTGAAGATGAGAAAAAGAATTTCGCACTTCGCGAGATAGAAATAATGCTTTCTGCTATTAGAAAGAGTTTGAAAGACTTTCCGTTGATGCCAATGCCGGATTTAGAGATTCATGATAGAACCACCAATCGTATGATACAAGAGGAATTAGCATATGATATTAATGTCATGAAGGAAGAGAATGAAAAATTGGTGCATCAACTCACCGAAGAGCAAAGGGCTATATATGCAAATGTTTTGCAAGATGCTGAGAACGATCTTGGAGGGTTGTTTTTTGTTTATGGATACGGTGGAACTGGAAAAACATTCTTATGGAGAGCATTGTCGTCTGCTTTAAGGTCAAAGGGTGATATAGTTTTAAATGTGGCATCAAGTGGTATAGCATCGCTTTTATTACCAGGAGGTAGAACTGCGCATTCTAGATTTTCAATACCAATTGCTGTTAATGAAGATTCAACATGCAACATCAGCCAAAGCAGTCCTTTGGCAAAATTGTTGATGCAATGTAAGTTGATCATTTGGGATGAGGCACCGATGATGCATAAGTTTTGCTTTGAAGCTTTAGACCGTAGTATGAGAGATATCATGCGTGCCAAAAATCCAAATAGCTTGGATATGACTTTTGGTGGGAAAACCGTGGTGTTAGGTGGAGATTTCAGACAGATTCTACCAGTCATTCCAAAGGGCACCCGACAAGATATTGTTGGAGCAAGTGTCAATGCATCATATCTTTGGAGAAGCTGTAAAGTATTTAGGCTAACAAAGAATCTCAGGCTAAGGTCATTGCAATCAGAAACTGATGTTCAACAGATTGAAAAATTTGCAAAGTGGATTGCTAATATCGGTGATGGAACAATTGGTGAGTCTTTGCATGGAGAATGTGAGATAAATATTCCTGAAGAATTTGTGCTAACTTGTGTTGAGGATCCAATTTCTACAATTGTTGATAGCATATTCCCTATGTTTCGCAGAGGTCATAGTGATATTCAATATCTAAAAGATCGTGCTATTTTGGCACCAACACTGGATATTGTGGATGCAGTAAATGAATACATGAATGGCTACAATAATTCCGAAGGAAGGACGTATCTCAGTTGTGACTCAGTCTGCAAATCAGATTCAAATGTTGACATGCTTGCTGATTTGCACAGTCCTGAATTTTTAAATGGATTAAGGTGTTCAGGAGTGTCAAATCACTCATTGACTCTAAAAGTTGGGTCTCCAGTTATGCTTCTGAGGAATATTGATCACTCATTGGGGTTGTGCAATGGTACAAGAATGATAATTTCAAAGTTGGCAGATCATGTGTTAGAAGCTCAAATACTATGCGGTGCAAGTGCCGGTACAAAAGTCCTAATTCCAAGAATGTCCTTAACACCTTCTGATCCAAGATTGCCTTTTAAGTTCCAAAGGAAGCAATTCCCACTAATGTTTTCATATGCAATGACAATAAATAAAAGCCAAGGCCAGACACTCTCCAACATTGGTTTGTTTTTGAAGAGACCGGTTTTTAATCATGGTCAATTGTATGTAGCAGTGTCAAGAGTGAGTAATCCGAAGGGATTAAAAATTCTTATTTGGGATGAAAATGAAAAAAAAAAAAAAAAAAACCACTACAAATGTAGTATACAGAGAAGTATTCAATAATGTTTAATAAAATTTCAACAACTTCGCTATCCATTTATTTTTTTATAATTATGTATACATATTGCCGTGCACCGTACGGGTGCAACTACTAGTTGTCCTTAATAATAATAATAATAATAATAATAATAATAATAATAATAATAATAATAATAATAATAATAATAATAATAATAATAATAATAAATGTTTATATAATAAAAAATACGTGGCTATATATATCTACTATACTAATAAGAGCCCAAGAGAGTTAGGCCTATAATGGGTAGAAAAAATGGCGGTCACAGATTTTAATCAAATGAATGGCTCAGATTGATTAAAAGATTGATAAGATTTAAATTTTACACTAAAATTTCCTAAAATACCCACACACCGTTACTAATTCCGTTAAAATTTTAAGAATTGCCGTTAGTTCACCGTTAACTTACTCATTGATTTCAATAATAAAAAAAAAAGGTCTTAGGTTCGAAGATTTAAATTTTACACTAAAATTTCCTAAAATACCCACACACCGTTACTAATTCCATTAAAATTTTAAGAATTGCCGTTAGTTCACCGTTAACTTACTCATTGATTTCAATAAAAAAAAAAAAGGTCTTAGGTTCGAACCTCATCCCAATCAAAGTTGGCATAATTAGTACTCTATTTTACTCTTATTAAATTATTATATAAGTAATAATTTAGTAGCTACAACAAAAAATTATAGATATGCATTTCTTTAATTTAGAATTATGTGTCCATAATGCCTTTATTCAAAAAAAAAAAATTATTCATTATCGATAAATTAAATAAGAGAAATAATTGTATTAGTTATATTGTCTTTATTTTTCTACAATATAAAAATTCTTTATATTCAAATTTATTAATTGATTATATTCGCTACATTGTCCTTACAATGTCTTAATTCAGTGAAAAAAAAAATTATTCATTATCAATAAATTAATTAAGAGAAATATTTTCATTAGTTATATTGTCTTTATTTTTCTCAACTGTAAAAATTTTTACATTCAAATTCATCAATTGATTATATTCACTACATTGTCTAGTATTTTTTTTGTGCACTATTTTTTTTAATTAAATATCAAAGTTATAATACAAAATAATGCTATATATTTATTTACCAAGTATTTTATTAATACCATGAAAAGTTTAAAAAAATATATAATTAATAAAGCCAATCATATTAACTACTTGAGAGATTTTGTGACAAAGAGAGTATTCAAATCACACAACAAATTGAAGTGAGAACTACCTTGCAATGTCCTTGTTTGACAACCAGCCGTTAGCGCGCGGATTATATTAGCGGATTTGACCAACTAATTTATTTAATTATTAATATTGGGTAGAAAAAATGATCGCCAAATTATTAAATCAAATGAATGGTACAAATTTTTCAGGTTTTAATTTTTTTTAAAAATTTTTCTAATTTATCCTTAATTATATGATTATCCATTTAACTTTTCCGTTAAATACTGTTAATTCACCGTTAGTCTAATTATAATATTAACGTCTAATATAGAATTATAATTACACCATTAATCTAATTCTAATATTAAAGTCTTAATAGAACTTAACCACAAATCCTAATGTCGAAATCTCCTCAAACAATATTAGTATATATTTAATATTTTATGCCCTAATTTTTATTTGTTCTCCCTTATGTCCCGTATTTGGTTTCAACCATACCTATACAATTATTTTATTGACAATTATAATCAATCTTGACTATATTATCTTGCATTTGTAAACTTAGAATTACTTATTTAACCTGCACGGGCTTAGCTCAATGGTTTAGTGGGCAGTATTTGGGAGAAGAGACCAAGGTTTGAACCTCGGCGGCGTCAGTGCGGGAATTATGTCCAAAGTGGGCAGATTCCTTGTTCGCACCGGCATTTGGTCCTGTCTGCTCAACTTCCTACAATGCTCTGTCGGGTCAGAGTGTGGGGGGCCCTTGGGGTAGGGGACTCAACCTTTGGGAGAAGAATTACCTATTTAAATACGCAAATTCAACCTTCAATTATCTATGCATGAACAATTTCAATATAATCTTGTCTTAATATACTTTAAAGTACTTATTTTTTAAAAAAAAACATTGGGCATTATCCCAATCGCGCAATGCGCGTAAAAAACTAGTATATATATATATATATATATATATATATATATATATATATATATATATATATATATATATATATATATATATATATATATATATATATATATAGGCGAGTTCAGGTGCGGCAATGTCTTACAGTGCGGCATCACCAATAGTTCATCAAATACACACCATCAACGTAGGAAAATACACTACAAAAAAAATGAGACAAATTAGGTACGCATCACCAAACACACACCATTCGGTGCGAGTAAAAACACCATACAGTGTTCGGAATACACCATTGGGGGTGGTGAGTTATATGGTGTATTTTTTTTGGGTCTGTTTGTGTATTTTTTGATGTTTTATTGCATTTCATTGTGGTGTGTTTTCCTTACAGTGTTGGTGCATATTATTAATACTATTGGTGTATTATGAAATTCCGCCGCACCGCCGCACGAGAAGACTCCGCCGTATTTAAACTTTTTCACATATATATATATATATATATATATATATATATATATATATATATATATATATATATATATTTATTTATTTATTTATTTATTTATTGAGGACAATATAATAAATTGATCCATATAACTTTAAATATAGCTATTAACCAAACAAAGTAATATTATATTCCTACAATCCAAACCTAACATACATGGTAATCTTACATCCCCAAAATCACATATTACCTTTCAAGAGGTTATCATATTACTTAAGATAATCTCAAATTTCGTGAATCAAAAGCCTCTCAAAGCTAATGCGGTGATAATGTTTCAAGGTAATGTGATTACCTCTATTTTCTTACGTAATCTAAAATTATCTTGAAAGATTTTAACTTTGTCCTCGTTTACTAAACTTTATATAATAATAATAATAATAATAATAATAATAATAATAATAATAATAATAATAATAACCATTTACCAAACAAGATAATATTATATTTACACAATCAAAACCAAACATCTTCTACTATAATAAAGCCGAAGAATAGTTTTTCGCTCAATGAAAGAAAGTTCTAGATACACATTATATTTATGAATCAATTATTAAACAATTACTAATTACTAATAAGGAGTAATAACTGAATGTTAAAATATAAAGGAACTGAATAGACACGGTCCTGCTGGACAGTTCACTCTACAATAATAATTACGGAGTAATATCTAACAATTATTAGTTTAGCTATAAATAGTTCAAACATCTGGCACCCAATTCCTCAAACGAAAGGTACTGTCAAAATCCTCCAAATTGTTTTCGAAATGCCTTCTGCATACTAAGGAGAGCACTTCGAGTTTGGCTGGTCAGAACCTACGAAGTTCCTGAGATACATGGAGGCACAACAAGCAAAAGAAAAACAATGCCTCTTTCATGACAAATAGGTAATGTTAATATCAGATTTTCTGTAATATTTTTCTAAATCCTTATTAACAGTAACAATGTTTCAATTATTGCTATTGTTTTCATTCTGTAATGTTCAAAGTGTGGGTAATGATAAATAACTAAAGGAACAAATTTTTAAAAATAAAATAATTGTACGAAAGGTACTGTCAAAATCCTCCAAATTGTATTCGAAATGCCTTCTGCATACAAGGAGAGCATTCCGAGTTTGGCTGGTCAGAACCTACGAAGTTCCTGAGATAAATGGAGGCACAACAAGCAAAAGAAAAACAATGCCTCTTTCATGACAATGAGGTAATGTTAAGATCGGATTTTCTGTAATATTTTTCTAAATCCTTATTAACAGTAACAATGTTTTCATTATTGCTATTGTTTTCATTCTGTAATGTTTAAAGTGTGGGTAATGATAAATAAATAAAGGAACAAATTTTTAAAAATAAAATAATTGTACGAAAGGTACTGTCAAAATCCTCCAAATTGTTTTCGAAATGCCTTCTGCATACAAGGAGAGCACTCCGAGTTTGGCTGGTCAGAACCTACGAAGTTCCTGAGATAAATGGAGGCACAACAAGCAAAAGAAAAACAATGCCTCTTTCATGACAATGAGGTAATGTTAATATCAGATTTTCTGTAATATTTTTCTAAATCCTTATTAACTGTAACGATGAGATGATGGGATTTCAAATTCAAAATAATAAATTCAATCAGATTACAGAACTGGAGAACGCTAGAGTTCTATAGGAGAAATAACATAATAGTCTCCTACTATTCAGGCTAGGACTACTGACTAAAATACAACCAATAATATTAAAGCATAATATACACATAAAATATTAATATTGCTAACACACCCCCTCAAGCACAAGGGTGGATGCTAACCACATTGAGCTTGTCCCTCAGAGTATGAAAACGCGGAGCTGGAAGGGGTTTGGTGAAGATGTCAGCAAGCTGGTCCTTGGTTGAAATGAAGTTGACGACGAACTCCCCCGAAGAAACTTTATCGCGGACAAAGTGAAAATCAATCTCGACATGCTTCGTTCTGGCGTGGAACACAGAATTAGCGGCTAAGTATGTTTCCCCTAGATTATCACACCATAATGTAGCGGGATCTCCAGTATGTAGACCCAACTCCCGGAGTAAGGATACGACCCAGGTAACTTCAGCAGCTACGTCGGCAAGACTTTTGTACTCGGCCTCTGTTGAGGAGCGTGCAACCGTGCGCTGCTTCCGAGATAGCCAGGAGATGAAGTTAGTCCCAAGGAAGACCGCATAACCATTGGTGGATTTTCGGTCTATAGTACAGCTGGCCCAATCTGAGTTTGAAAACGCATGTATAGCGGAAGAGGATGATGGAGATAGACGTAGCCCGTAGTCGAGAGTGCCTTTTACATACCGGAGGACACGTTTGAGAAGAACCCAATGATCCTGTGTGGGGGAATGCATGAATTGACAAAGCCTGTTAACTGAAAAGGAAAGATCTGGCCGAGTAATGGTCAGGTACTGCAGAGCCCCTACTATACGGCGGTATTGAGTCGGATTGTCGAACGGGTCAAGTGTTGGTGTAGCCGGTTGAGTGACTGCAGCCGGAGTAGCCAAGGGTTTACAGTCGGTCATACCCGCACGTGAGAGAACATCAGCCATATACCTCCGTTGAGACAATAGGAAGCCACCATCATCAGACAAAGTCTCAATGCCTAGGAAGAAGGTGGGCTTGCCCAAGTCCCGGATCTTGAACGTAGATGAGAGACGCCGTAAAAGGGAATCAATTAACGCTGAGTCGTTGCCGAACATAATAATATCGTCTACGTAGACGAGTAAGAACACCCTGGAAACACCGTCGGTGTAGTGAAATAACGACACATCAGTTTTGGAGGCAAGGAAACCTGTTGATATTAGGAACTCATGTAGTCGCTTGAACCAAGCCCGAGGAGGCTGTTTCAAGCCATAAAGAGAACGCTGTAAGTGGCACACGTGATCCGGATGTGCTGGATCCTCGTATCCCGGTGGCTACTTCATGTAAACCGTCTCGGATAGATGCCCATTTAGAAAGGCATTGTGGACATCAAGCTGTCGCATGGTCCATTTGTGAGACACTGCAAGAGAAAATAATATGCGAATAGTGGTTGGTTTAACAACCGGACTGAACGTGTCAAAAAAATCTTCACCAGCCACTTGGTTGAACCCTTTGGCAACCAGGCGCGCTTTGTAGCGCTCTATTGAGCCATCAGCTTTATGCTTGGTGCGAAAAACCCACTTGCAGCCTATGACATTCATGTGCGGCGTTGCCGGGACCAGGTTCCAGGTGTTGTTATGCAGTAGTGCATTAAACTCCTGGTCCATGGCATCCCGCCATTGCGGATATCCAACTGCTTGGGAGTAACATGTGGGATCCGTGGTGACAGTGAGTGGCTGAAACTGCTCATCTGTTCCACGAGTCTTACGCCGAGTGCGCAAGACATGCCCTTCGCTCTGGGATGATTTAGTAGTGGTCATCCCTTTTCTCCGAGTTGGAGCTGGGGCAGCCTCTATAGCCATTTGAGGCGGTTCCTGTGCCATGGGTAACTCCATTGGCGGTGGTGGAGCCGGAGTATTAACAACAACAGGACTTGAACCCCAGGGTGTATTGATAGGTTGCTCATCAGTAACCTGTAGAGAAGCCTGCATAGAAAAGGGGAAAGTGGACTCATCAAATCGGACATGACGGCAGATAAAGATCTTTCCCGTGGATAAGTCTAAGCAGCGGTACCCCCTATAAGAGACTGGGTAACCTAAGAAGACGCATGGTGCCGACCGATATTCCATTTTATGGCGATTGTAGGGCCGCAAATAGGGATAACAGCGGCAACCGAAGACACGGAAAAAGTTATATGTGGGTTGGGTGTTATATAAACGGGAATAGGGCGTTTCAAACTGTATGGCTGAAGATGGCAAGTAGTTGATTAAATGGGCTGCTGTTTCAAAAGCATAATCCCAATATTGAAGGGGAGTTGAGCTTTCAGCTAATAAAGCTAAGCCGGTTTCGACAATGTGTCGGTTCCGGCGCTCAACACGACCATTTTGTTCGTGTGTATAGGCGCAAGACTGCCTGTGAGTTATGCCAAGAGACTCGAAAGCTGTGTGTAATCGGCGATATTCGCCGCCCAAGTCAGACTGAATGGCTTTGATAGAACGGGAAAACCGCCGTTCTACCATTGCCCGAAATAAATTGAACGTTTTATATATGTCTGATTTTAATCTTAGCGGATAAAACCAGCAAAACCGCGAGTAATCGTCTACAAAAAGGACAAAGTAACGAAAACCCGAATTACTAATAACAGAAGATAGACCCCAGATGTCCATGTACAATAAATCTAAAATATTTTGACTAGTGTTTGAAACTCTATCTAGTGGAAAACGTGCTGATTTTCCGAGTTGGCATGCGGTGCACATTCTTGACGAACTTGTTTTATTTGGCAAAACTGAGCAGCTTTTTAAGACACGCTGAAGGACTTCATGGTGAGGGTGACCCAACAGTTGATGCCACACCTGTGACGATGCTCGGGCGGAGAGAAACACAAAGTGAGACCGGGGAACCAGTAGCTTGTATAACCCGCCCGAGGTTGACCCTTTAAGTAGAATTGTTTGGGTGCTGGAATCCTTCACAAGAAACAAATCTTTAGGAAATTCGAAAAACACATCGTTTTCATTAGCAACACGATAAACAGAAAGCAATGGTAAAGTCAGATTCGGGACATGTAAGATATTTGACATTTGTAGATTTTTAGACCGGGATGGGATTACTGCATGACCCACACGGGAAACATCCAAACCTGCGCCGTTGCCAACTTTGAGTACGTCCCCGCCATTGTACGCCTCGAAATGGTGCAACATCTGTTCATCCGGAGTTGCATGAGACGAGGCACTCGTGTCCGGGTACCAGGCATCGGCTACCTGAGGTTCACCGGCCACTACAATATTAGCCTGACCTGCATTCGGTTGTGGACGCTCCGTATATCGTTTAAAATAATAAACGGCCGTATGGCCGTGTGATCTGCAGATTTGGCGACAGGGTGTGCCGCCGCGCCCTCGGTCGTTGCTATTCCCCCTGCCACGGCCATGCCGTCCGCGGCCGCCGGAACCACTGCGGCCACCCGATCCGTGATCGCCGCTATTTCTGCCACGCCCCGCAAAGAACGCCGACGGACTACCTCCTGCGCCGGACTCGACTGCAAAGTCATCGGAGTGGATAAACTCCTGCGCCTGTAGATGATCGGCGAGTTGCGACAAGGAGACGGGGCTGCCGGAGACAGTGAGCGAGCTGGCCATCGCTCGGAATTCTGGCCGTAGTCTACGTAGCACGTACAGAATTTGTTCATCCGGAGACAGAGGCCGTCCGGCCAGCGCGAGTGCTTCAACAATAGTCTGGGCTTTGCCAAGATATTCTGTCGGTGAGCTTCCTCCCTGACGCAAAGTTTGAAACTGCCCGAGAAGACTCAGACAGCAGGCTCGGGTGGTTGATGCCAATGCGGATGTGACCGACTCCCAGACTTCTTTGGCGGTGTTCCGGCCGAGCGCGTGATGCATGACTTCGTCCGAGAATGAGGAAATCAGCAGTGATAAAATTGATTGGTCCTGTTGGACCCAGGCAGCATGCGCGGGATTCGGAGTCGTGGTTGTCGTTGCCGCGGCATCACCGGAGGCCAAGGTGACGGAGATAGTCTCCGGAGGACACGGGAGACTGCCATCAATATATCCCAGTAGTCCTTGGCCACGGAGAAAAGGGAGAAGTTGTGTTCTCCAGAAGAGGTAATTACGCGTTGTTAATTTCATAGAAACAAAATGATGCGCAGCTGAGAGCGGGTTTGGTGTCGCCGGCACAGTGGGTGCGGCGGGGATGATTGGTTGTTCAGATGAATTCGAAGCCATCGATAGAGTGGTGAGAGAGAGCGGAAACGAATAGGAAAGAGAATCGCAGTCCTATCGCAACTGATACCAGATGAGATGATGAGATTTCAAATTCAAAATAATAAATTCAATCAGATTACATAACTGGAGAACGCTAGAGTTCTATAGGAGAAATAACATAATAGTCTCCTACTATTCAGGGTAGGACTATTGACTAAAATACAACCAATAATATTAAAGCATAATATATACATAAAATATTAATATTGCTAACAGTAACAATGTTTTCATTATTGCTATTGTTTTCATTCTATAATGTTCAAAGTGTGGGTAATGATAAATAAATAAAGGAACAAATTTTTTAAAATAAAATAATTGTTCACTGTAAGAAATTATATGAACTACATTTATTTACATACTTCGTATACTGTTTTGAGAGGAAAATGAATGAGAATCGAGTCGATTATTCTTGCGACAGATGAGCAAAGAGATTATACTGTTTTGAGAGGAAAATGAATGAGAATCGAATCGATGGATTATTCTTGCGGCAGATGAGCAAAGAGATTTAGTGGGAGATACGTCGAGTTACAACACCTCGATCGAGGTTTGATCTCATGACCTCCAATATAGGAGAGGTCACTACATACCATTTGAACACAAGGTACTTGGCAAGAATAGAGTACTTTAATTATTGAGCAATTAAATTAGTTGTGTGGTTTTATTTTTTAAAAGGCCCTATAATATTTTGGGTCACCACGTTATATTTTAAATTTAATTATTGTGTGTATATGTATTTATACAATTATTGTTGTATTTATTAACCATAATTTTGATCTGTAGTGATTCTCATGAATTGTTAAATACTTATTATTTAACAATGTAATTAGATTATTTCAAAAAAAACGTAATTAGATCTATTATATTTTTAATCATTTTGTTTTTGCGGAAAATGAAATTTTGTCAAGTACTAAGATAAGTAGAGGTGCAAACGACAAACGACAAACTACTAACATTATTTACCATGAAGTGTTTAATAACATTTAATATTTGTTATTTAAATAATGTAATATAGAATGCCAAGTAGTGTTTTTTTATTCATTTTTTATTCGATACAAGTGTTTTTTATTCATTAATATGATCTTCTTCATATTCTTTTTTCTTCTTCAAATATATTCAACTTAATTGGTATGTAATAAATAAATTCATTTTGGATAATTAAAATGCTATAAATAAATTTTCTAATTTTGAAGTTTCAGGTTTGAAATTTTATAACTTCATTTATATTTTCTCATGAAAAAATAAAGAATCATTTATTTATTGTATATAGTTTAATTTACTAATTTTAAAAATTTGTTATAAAATGTGTGTGTGTGTGTGTAAATAATTATTTAAATGTAAAATTTTAAAATCTCATGTGGTATCTAATAACACAATGCTTTATAATATATGCTAATGGTATGTTGTGACGTTTTAATATAACAACTAATTTAATAAAAATACTTAAATTTTATACCGTGCATCGCACGGGACAAATACTAGTACAAAGTAAAGAAGGGTAAAATAGTAAAATAAAGAAGAATCTTTATATAGATTAAATTATATTAAATATCATGTCCATATTTGTAGGAGATATATTAAAGGTATGAATGCGAATAATATAATATGTAATCAAATATGCTCAAAAAACACAGACACCATGGCCGATGGTTAATGGTTGTGTTTGTAATTTTTATGTTCGGAGTCCACGAGTGCCATTG